ATTGTACAGTTACTTATTCTGTTTCATTATAATGATTAATTATTTATTCTAAATAAAAACCTGTTCAAACCTGATGTCTATTTGAAACCATTTCATGTAAGAGAGTAAATGCTTTTTGTATAGATTTTTTTTGAATATAATTATCTAATAATCGTTGTTGTAAATTAAATGGATATTTTCCATCTTGTTTTGCTTCTTCATAAAGTTCTTCTAATTGTTGACGATTTGTTTTTTGTAAATCCATAGTTGAAAGTTTTTCTTTCCATGATAATTCACCTGGTTTATAACGAGCTAATTGTTCAACAATATCACGTGGTAATGTATAATTAGTTAATATATCAATTTCATTCATTGAACCACCTATTTTAAGATTATCTTTTATACATTGTTCAGCTAATCGTGATGTTAAATCTGTTCGACGATGTTGAGCTGAAAAACGAAGTAAATATATAAATAATTCATGTTTAAGCATCGGAATATCATTTGATAAATTTTTCGATATTGAATCAATTAATTGAAATATTCGTGTATAATCATTCATAGATTTTGTTTGAGAATCTTTATTGATTTCTTCATCATGATGTTCATCTAATCTATAATTACACAACGAAAAATCTTTTCAAAGATAAAGCAAAAAAAGAAAAATGTTTTAACTATTTTTACTTTGTTGATATACCAGTCATAAAAGAACATAAATATCTTGCAAATTCTTCTTGTCTTGAACGTGTATGTAAGCGAAAAAATGGTGCGATTTGTTCAATTATATTTAACTGAAGCACATTTCGTCGTATATCATTTAATAATAAACGACATATACGATCAAGTATTGATTGTAGATTATTTTTTGATAACATGTTTAATAATGGATTAAAATCATTTTGATAATATTGATGAAATATTGGTTGTACAATTCTTGAATATGTTGATGATTCAATTGGTATAGATAAACGATCAAGTAAACGAAATAAACGTAAACGATCATTATCTGTCCAATTTTGACATGTTTTTGGTGAATAGATATTTAATAAAATTGGATAAAAATAATTTGTACGCATTGGATGATTTAATTCTTGTCCACGTTCAAGATAATTAAGTGCTAAATGATGATTTTCATTTGGTGTTGTATATAAAACACGAAGAATACCATCAAGTGGTACTAGATTTTTTTCCATCATTAATTTAAGATATATATCCATTAGATGAGGTTCTTTATTATCAAGTAATTGTCTAAACAAAAACAAAAAAGGAAATAAAATAAAAACATGGTTTAGAATTTTTTCGTCTTAATATCGAGATAATTTTGTTACTATCTCTCCAATGGAATTAGTTAGATGAGGTATGAAGAGTAGATTGTCCAGGTCTAGAAGTATGAGCCGTTTCCGACCGAAAAATGATGGAGAATAGTAGGAACTCGGAATTAGGAATCTAGGGACTGACCGTGTCCGGAAATTAAAAAATCCGGCTACCGGATTCTTTCTTCAAATATCTGACTATTTTACTGAGTTTTGCGGTCGGAAGCAGCATCTTTCCGGCGAGAATCTGTCGGAAATTCATGGATCCGAACGCCACAATCGCTGATCTGAGATGAACTCGACAGATTAACAAGAATATTGAGAATCGGATTAATGAAAATTACAAATTAAAAAGCTATATATTTGGAGATATTGATACTTCTAATTTCTGATCTAATCTCAAATTAATTATCAACAGATTACACCTTCCGAAGTACATATCTCATTCATCATTCTAATGTAAGTTATAGATGGACGCTTCCCAACGGCCTTTAGCAGTCTATTAAGTATAAAATATTTTCTTTGTTTAAAATTACCAAGTAAATTTTTTGCTTCGAATAAACAAGATATTAATAGAAATATTCTACCGATCAGACCGGTTAGTCATAAATTACTTAGTTTTATCAACATTTTAGCTACACAAATAAGATTTTCAAATAGTCATCTCAAAGCAAATCATGCATTGAATTTCAGCTACAAAGAAAAGAGTATTTACCTGAAAAAGAGTATCCAATGACGTCCATTAATTCCTTGATAAGGTGATGTTTCTTCATCAATTGCATCAGCTTCCGATTGCATTTGTAATAATTCAATGGCTGATTCATGCCATTCATTTGTTACACATTGTATAGCTAAATTGAATAAATTATTTGGCATACGTCCATGATCAAGTTCTTTTAATGTATTTAATAATAAATCAAATATTGGACGTTCTTTATATGAAATACATTGTCCAAGTAAAATAACAACAAAATGTGCATCAATATAAACAGTTGATGATGATGATGTTTGACGTTGTTGAGATTCAATTTGACCAAAATAATATTCAAATTGTTCTAATTTATGTTCACTAATAAGTGCTGTTAAAATTTCTTTGTATGTTGATATAGTTGGTTGTAAACCACGTTCTTTCATTATTTGTATTATATCATTAGCACCTTTATCATTACCAAGTTTAAGTTGACAAACAATTAATGCAGCAAATATATCTTCATCAATGCTTACATTACGTTCTTTAAGCATTTTCAAAAAATTTTGTGCACGATCTGTATTACCTTCACGACAATATCTATTTACCAAAAACAGATTTTTTAGATTATCTTTTAAGTAATAAAAAACACATACTGAGTTAACAGTAAACTATAGAGACGTGGCGTTGCTTGTATTTGTTCACTATCAATTAATTTTAAATAATAATCAGCATCAAATATAAAACCATTTTCATTAAGACCACTTAAATATGTTTCATAATGACGTGTTGTTAATCGAATCTTTTTATCATTTAATGTTTTCCATGCCTTTAGGAAAAAAAAAAATAGAAACATTGCTTTCAATAAAAAAGAAAAAATGTTTTTCATTTTTACTTCTTCTAATAATTGAACACGTTTATCTGGTGTAATATGATGAACACAACGAGCAGCAGCTGTTAATATTAATAAACTAAGTCTCTCAGATATATTGCTATTAATATTTTTAATAGCATTTGAAACAAGTTCACTTTGAACAAATCTTCTACGATTATAATCTGTTGTTAAATCAAGAAAGGCATCTTCTGTAAAATAACGATTCTTGATTTTTGAACTAGAAATGAAATAAAGAAAGTCTTTTTATTTTTTTACAAACAGTTTTTTTTTCTACTTGGAGTTTTGCGAAGTATCTACTGCAAAATTAGTTGTAGATGATTGAAAACGAACGAAACGGCTATATGAATTTGATGTAATAAAACTTTGAACAATGTTTTTTAAAACATTACAACGTGTATACATTTTTGTTTGATCTGAAAAAAGATTGTGCTAGATAGAAAATAAATTTTAAACATGGATATGAGAGTTCAAATGGTAAACACTAGCATGCAATCAAACAAGATTTCTTAATCAGATTACTTTCATCGATAGATGCTGCTAGATGTTGACAAGAACTCAAATGTTTTTGCAAGAGTTTGTGGCAAAATTTTCTTCTCTCTATAACATCTGAGGTTTCTTGTTTAGACAATGACATTGCGAAGAAAGAAAATTAGACTTTTGAAATTGAATTTTTTTAGAGTGTATAGTTCGTGATTTAAATCAGTACTATGTGTTTATAAGTTTATTTTCACTGCATTGTGAATACAAAAGAAAAATGTATGCATATTGTACAAAATTTAGTCATGGTTCAATTGATTTTTGTCATTGTCTATTCAATGATGCATAATTGTTATACGTAATCATAAATGCATTCTTGAACTTGATTTAATCCTTTCGCGCCGGGTATTCCATATATGGAACGGCGAGGTTTTTCATTATATGCCCGTATTAATATCGATTTGGCACTAGTAAAAACTAGAAGTCTTTGAAATATATTATTATTTTTTCCTTGATAATATGGTTTTCTATTATTAAAAAATGTCATGTTAGAAGTTTTATGATTATAATTTGAGTGACAATGTTTGTTATTGATGAAATTGCAAAAGGAAGTACATTAATATATTGTTTTGATCGAAAACAAGATTAATTGATAAGAAAAGAAATAAAAAATTGATGCTTCATTAATGAAAAATTTTCACGCTTTAATCAAATGACACTTAACATATAAATCGTTGTTTTCTCTTGTTAAAAAAAGAATTTGTATGAAATTTGATATTGAAAGTTTATTAATATAACAATTTATTTCATACGATAAATATGTTACTGATTTCTTTTTATAAAGACATGAAGAAAGAAAGAAAGAGAGTAACATCTGCATGCATATTTTCTTAATAGTCACGAATAAAAGAACATTTTTTTCCTTTAATACACATTCACAGCTGTTCCATCATTGAATCGTTAGGTTAAATACACATTTGATTCATTTTAGACATTGAATAAACAATATTCCTATAATAATTGGTAGCGTGTAGAGATTTTATCAAACAATGCACGACAATTTTTCTATTTATATAAGTATCATTCATTGATAAACAATTTATAAATTGAAAAATAGAAAAGATATAAACACTAGTTGATATACATACATATAGGAATGCCATCAATTAATTCTGATAAATGTTTATCTCTTCAATTCAGTCAGAATTCATTTTGATCAGTTAGTTTATCTTAATCTTAATATATCTCTTTTCAATCATCATTATTGATAATATCATTCAAAGAATCAGTCATTTAGATATATATATATTGGCTGTGTCTGCTTTATATTTGTTCATGTTTTTTTTCCTTATTGCAACAACATTAAAAACCATACGAATAAAACAATAAATGATAATGCTACGACTAAAAGATGTTAAAACTGTACATATATACACAGCCCACAACAAATATTAATAAATACAATGATACACATGCATAAAAATTAGTTGAATGTTAGTTGTTAGAATTAAATATTGATATAGTGAGAATAATTAATACTGAGATAAAACAAATCAACTACAATATCATATCTTATTTTAAATGTTAGTATCTATTAGTTTGTTCTGTTTTTTTTTCTATTATTGAGCATGATTGTTCCAAATAAATTTCAGTGCTGAGCTTCGTTTGCTTTCTCATTAACCTTGTCCGTAGCAGCATCAGCATTTGCACTTACACCACTTGATTGATTGGAATCCTTAGCTACTTCTTTATGAGAATCACCAGCTACAGCATGTGTTGCTTCAGTAACTTTCTCAGCAACATAATGATAACTAGATATATTAAATTGATACAGTAAAAAACAAAGAAAAGTAATATATATGTAATAAACATACGCTTCGGCAGCCTTTTCTTTTACAGTTCCAACAAGACCTTTTCCTTCGCCTTCACCACCAGCAACGTAGTTGTATCTAAATATATAAATTCTATGAATTGAAATAATAAGAACAGACACTTACGCTTCAGCGGCTTTTTCTTTAACGGCTTCAACAAAACTTTTAACATCATGTTCAACACTATTTCTATTTGATTCTTTGGATGTTTCAGATTTCTTTTCATCAACTTTATCTTTTATAGCATCAACACCTAAGTATAAATATAAGTCATTTATTTTTATTTCTATAAACTATAAAAACATACTATGACTAGCTTCATGACTAGCTTCTGATGCAGCTCCTATATATATATTGTTTGTATTATATCAATTTTAGTTTGAAAAATGAGATCACATACCTGCTACTTTATCTTTAACTACTTCAGTATCTTTCTTTAGTGAATCAGCCATTTAGAATATTTATTTGTGTATTTAATCAAGTACAAGCTTGAGTAGTTGTAAAAGGTTGAGTCAATCTATATATGTGGCGCAAGTAGACAGCAAAATGAATGAAGAAGAACTAATCAATGTGCTCGTCGATCACACTCTAGTCACGATGAGCCGAGAAAGAAATAGACAAAGAGTCAGAAAAAGTGGAGGGAGGACTAGAAGAAGCAAAGATGGCTAATGTTGGAAACACGATGAAACGGTCATAAGGAAATGAAATGTGCTACTTGAACATGTACATCAATAGTCTATTGAATGATCTATTATCAAGAAAAGCAAAAAGACAACCAATAGTCATAGGCAGTCATTTGTAAAAATAACATAAAGATAGCCTAAAGAACAAGACGTCTAAGAAAATATTCTATAATGTTTACATTAATTTACTTCTATATTTTTAATTTTTGCTGTTTCTTGAGAAAGAAGTAATGAGTTGAAAAGAATTCAATTAAAATAATAATCATTTGACATGTTTTCTTATATTAAGAAACCACACAAATGAGAATAATTTTTGTCATGTATATCTTAGATTAAAGTTTTACAAAGTTCATATATATTTTATTATTTTACCACTTTATTACCTATTCGTTTGTTTGATCAATATTTCTAAAAATAGGAATAAAAATTCAATGTTTAATAAATCTTGCTTAATATATACAATAATTAAAGAAAAATAAGTAATCACAAAGTCATATCATGCGAAAATAAATGTTAAAATTAATACATCAATGATTGGCATATGTTTGTTGTTTCTTTATGAATTGAGTGAAGGCATACCAATCATTTTGAGTATGTGATAGGTCAAGGAATTATCTGCTCTAGGGATATGTAGTTTCAGTGAAAAAAATTGCCACTTACTGCAACATTCATGTTTAGTAAAGTAGTGAGGCATTAACTCTATCAACGTATTCGCCTTTTGTACTTTTATTCATATTCATCAATGGCAAGTAGTGAGATAAGCGCATGTACCCTTCCCAAAAGTAATATGAATTTGGGCAATCTATAATGTCGAATAATAATGCCAATTTCGCAGAAGTGTGTCACTTCTATTAATAGCTTTAGTCTGTACACATGAATGCTATCTTGCAATGAAGAGTCCTACTATTAAAAATGCATTTATTGACATTTCATGCCCAACGGCTCTCTTTTTAGAAGTAGCATTCAAGAATGATACAAAGCCAGTTAGAAGTGTGAATATGATAAAATTTTAAATCAATTCGGTCTATGAATCTTCTTCGTGTTTGTTATTTTTCTTACGAAACTCAGCAGTGACACAACTCATGAAAATAGAATTTGAGGATTTTCTGGTATTGTCGCTTTTCTCCACAGTTTCAGATTAGAACTATTCCATAGAATTCTCTCGGATCTGGCAGAATTCTATTCGATGATTCCATCAACTTCAGATAAGACCTATCCAAATCTTACCAAATCCGACGAGTCTTTCAATACGATCGAGATATCAAGTTGCTTGTCCTGGAATAGTTATTTTTCGTGCGTTCTCATGTCAGCAACAGATTTCTGCTGAAAATTTGTGTTTTGAAATCATGTGAATAGTTCTCCTTAGTTAATTGAATGTAACGTTATTTTTAATATTTCATTTGATAATATTGTAATAGATATATTCTGAGAAACGAAATGAATAAAATGAAAACTGTTTTAGTGAGTAACAGTCTACCCTAGGATAAGTTTGCAATGAGACAAAAATAGTGAACAAAAAACAATCATGTTGTTCTCTTATTTTATCTTTAATAGTTCCCTTTTTTTAAAATTTTTCTCTGAAAATAGATTTGTATGATTTTTGTTAAAATTCTGATGGAGAATAAAAACCTACTGATAAAATGATAAAATTCAATTTGAGTTCGGCTGTTTTGTGGCAGAATGAGGTAGATATTGATTAAATTCCATGACAAGTTTATTGTTGCGTGCTAGAAGAGAATTGTTTTACCTCGCTGGGGAGTACTCTGTTGGCTCTATTTAGCACATGGTATTGTTCTATTTAATATATGAATTGAATAAATGAGGATTTATTGAAAATTCTTACGAGTACCTTGTTTTATTATCTCCTGACTAGAAATGTATATTTACGGTTACTTTCAAAAGTAAATGTCTTGTATTTTTCAGAATATTTTATACTTCATGTTTAAGCAATTCATTTCTAAAGAGTCAGCTCCTGTTCTATTGAGATACAGCAAATGAAACTATAATGATATTTCTTAAAACGCAAGATACCTTTACTTTGGAAAGGAATTGTAACTGTCCATCTCTACTCCTAACACACTTGCATGCCTGAGATACTAAAGTACTTTTTCTATGATAAAACTAAGATCCCCCTTCTTTTATTCAAATGATTGTTCAAAAGCAGCCATATATCGATGTAAAATACTTATTTTAGACTGCAGTGAGAATTTAGAATCTATCGTGTCGTTTAGATTTCCTTATGTGCAGATTTTTACATTTCTACTGTGAATAGCACAGACGGGGCATAATGAATGGACGTGCTCTGTATTTCACTTTTTCATCAGTTAATGAGTTTTATTTAAAAAAAAAACATATCAAGATGCCGTATGAAAAGCTATACATTTAACAAAGGACAGCTTATTTTATAGTTACATTTTTCTTTTTCATGACGTACAAAATTTTGTATGACCGATTTTTAACACTGCGAACGAGATCATTAATTGGTACATGACGGATTTCTTTTCTTACTTCATCTATTAATTAACTATAGTATTTAACGTTATCCTATTGTATATTTATTGATGATAGCGTTTTACATGTAATAATCCAAAACATTAAGATTAAAATTGTTTGATGGCTATCCGAGATTGTTTATCAAATGCATGAAATTTTCTTAATGTCATACCAATGATTTCTGATATGTATCTGACGTAGCGTTGTCTTGTCGATAGATAAAATCGTCACTCAAGAACTGTTTACTTTCAGATTGCGCATGTGAAAGGATCACTTCAATATATAATTTTCACATGTTAATGTTTCAACAGGTTTAACTACAATCGGAGACGTAAAATAACTTTGAGATACATCTAATCACATCGTAATACGTTTTAGATCCTTAGTCTTTTGATTTATGCCATCTTGCAATCTTACAGCATAAATATGATCTAATGAAAAACATTTTTATTAGTGAATAGAATTATTGTTAATCAATGAAATAAATAATCGAAGTGGTTGTTTACTTTAAAAAAATGATCATTTCCGCAGTGTCAGAAATTAGTTGAACAAAACTTTGTCCATTTTATCAACAAAAAATACAGCTATAAAATAAGTTGTTATTTATGAAATGTAGAACTTTTCGCGTTGCACATTGTGGTATATTTTCTTTTATGGGACACGATCTAAAAATAGTATTGAAGTTTAGAAGCAAAGATTTGTCCTTCTCCTCCTCTTCACAGATCATGACAGACGTTGATATACGATAGTAGACTGTGGATTAATAATGCTTCGCTACTACTTCCTTATTGCATTTCTGGAAGATTAAGCCAAAGGATGTTGAAGATATGTATTCCAGAATAGTTAGAAAAACAAAATTTTCCTGTGATTAACAAGAGCAGCTACATCGTATTTTCACTTTTTAATCTAGTATGGTTTGTGCTAGCAGTTTTATTAATTGATCTTAGTATTAAATGACTCGAACAAGTACAGCAGTAGATTTGTCACAAAAATGATGAAATAAATCATTTGCATCAGCTCTAGTATATCAAATTATTCTGAATATTGTGAATGTTCATCGTACATCGCTAATCTGCTCAAGCTGTTCCTGATTTGTATAATGAAAATTTCCGTAGAAAAATTTGTTAATAATTTGACGAAACCGAAACATAAGAAGAGAAGATTTCTTTATTCAAAACGATCATCAATTCATAGATCAAATGATAATCATGAAGAAATTATAAATTTGTTGTTAATAATTCAGTTTTTTAATGATTTAGAAAAACAAGCGATTATATAAAAACTAGAATTGCCTTTCTTTTTATTAATCGACATTTGTTGGTTACTGATAATAAAAATTGATTTCTATTGTGTTAGACACATATCAAAACTCTACGCAAACAAAACTTAAATTTCAGTGACAAATGGTATAAATATGTTGAATTCTTTATTTTTCCTTTTTGTTTTTATTAGTAAAGAATAACAAACAGTAGATAAATACATAATTATTTGAATCTGAATATCTGCTCACAATATTTTATATATATATATATGTTTTTTTTTGATTTCGTAACTAATATCTGACTAATCAAAGAGAAAAAAAAATAAAAATAAAAATAATCTGAACATCTATCAAAAATATGCTTGCGTTTGATCAAGATATGTTGCATCAGTAAATGTTTCTGATAATGGTTTACTTGATTTAAGATCTCGAAGCCACATTTGTACTTGATCTTTTATTATTGGATAATGACCAAATGTACGACGAGTTAATTTAAGGGTTCGACGTGATAAATACCAATGACCTTGAGTTTTCCAAAACGTTTGAAATAAACGTTCTAAAGAAAAAAACATAATTGAAATTCTTTCGTTTTTCTATGAACTATAACCCAACCTTTAGCCCAATTCGGTATACGTGCTTCATCTTCATCATCATTATCTGAATCTTGATCTGAACGTATATCTTCTATTCCATAATCACCATCATTTGAATGATGAGTTGTGTCACTAGAAAACAAGAACGTTTGTTTTATTTGAAAGAAAATAAAAAAATTGCAAACTAACGTTATTGTTGTATCAAGTTCAAGTTCATCATGAACAGTGCCTGATGTTGCTAATATTGTCCAATCAGCTTTATGATGTGAATTTGGTTGAATCATAGAACTTGATGGTAATGTTATATCATTTCGTAATGGATTATTTTTATCAACAACAAATGTATATTCAGCATTCGTTGCTGTTGTTGTTGTTGTTGTTGGTTTTTTTAATCCATTTGTTTGATTTTTGATAATTTTATT